CCATAGACTATATTAATCAATGGATGTGGATTAACTCATTCAGTACCTTTCTCAATAATTTCCAAGCCTAACTGTTTACCAGAATTTCCTGAACAATTTTAAACTCTAAAAGTTACCCAGTTCCTCTTCAGCTCGACATGAGTCAGAAACCCCAGGTATAAAGCCTGTGTGTGTATTTGTAGATTTAAAGATCTTCCCGTGGGATTCTGAGTTACTGTGGTTGTTAAGTGCTGTTGTGTGAGTTTTTCCCCAAGGAACTGTTGGTGGATTCAAAGTTCTGGCCTTGCAGTTCAAACTGATCTTGCAGTCCAGTGCTTATCTTACAGTGCCACACTAGGAGATTTTGAGGTAAACCAGAAACAAGATTTGCTTCTCCATTCCTTTTTGTTCTTCCAGGAGCAGTAAGATGAAGAGAAGGTAGTTGGAACCAAGTCAGTTCCAACTCTTAGTGCCCCTGTATTTCCAAGGCTGTAAATCTTTCCAAGGCTGTAAAGCCTCATCTTTCTCCCTAAGAGCATCTGGTATATTTGAACTACTGGCCTTGTGGTTACCAGCCCAGCTCATAATCCACTATGGTACCAGGTCTCCTTGGAGACAAGGTAGGAGAAGAAAAGACGAGGTATTTCTTACTTCACACTGTCTAACTGTCATGCTGACTTCTTTACATGAATCTTTTCCTCAGATAAATGGAAAGAGCCTTCACCTTTGGTTAGAGAGCTAGTTGGTGGCCTTCAATAGACTTCCATTTCTATCATTTTCGTTCAGATTGTAAGCACTCTGTGACCATCGGATCTTTTGAGGCACTGATCCTGTTTTTCCTTTCAGGCTCCTAACGGTCCTACTGCAGCAATCAAACCTCAGCGAGATTAACCACCAGGACAATGAGGTGAGCCTACCCTCCCAGACATCCGTGGGGGAATGGAAGGACCTTCTGTTTATCTGTGCTTCCTGGATAGTCATCTCATAAAGGTGCACAGAGAGCAAGGAGCACAGTTTTGTGTTCTTACCCTGTGTCTCCACATTCATTCTCGGGTAGAAATGTATCCCCGGCTGGGGCGGGGGTAGTTTCTAATAGGGAAAGACTTATTGTATTAAGCATTTAAGCATTTATCACACCACTGACATTTTGTAATTTTACTCTGGTTATTGAGAAATAAATATTGTTCTCTCCTCCCTTCCTGCGTCCCAGAAATTTAAATGGCAAGCTATGACCCCAGATATTCTATCTCTGAGAGACAAATGACAAACCGTAATTCCAGTCTATTTGTTCCAGATGTCACATTATGAGTTGCAGTTGCTGCTTCCTTCATGTTGCAAAGGCAATATTGGGGGGAAATTCCAAAATAACAATTAAGCACTCTTGAATAAAAATCTTAAGGAAGGATGGGCCAGACCGTAAACAGAACTACCCAAGAGTCACTTATTGTTGTTGCTAAGTGCTGTTGAGTTGGTTACAACCCATAGCAAAGCTATGTAGTGTTTCTGAGGAGCAGCTTGTGAGCTTGAACTGATGACCATGTGGTTCAAACTTTGCAGTCCAACACATTAACACAAGCACCACACCAGAACTGTTAGGGCATTGCTATATCTACTTAACATTTTTTAACAACATTATAACCACCGGTGTGGCACTGCGGGTTAATGGGCTGGACTGAAAAATCAGTTTGAACCACAAGGTTGGCAGTTTAAGATCACCAGCTGCTCCTTGAAAACTTTATACAGGGTTGCTATGGGTTGGAACCAACTTGACGGTACTTAACAACAATAACTTATCAACATGGTTAAATTCCAAAAACCAGGTTATTATGTAAAAATTGGTGTGATTTAATCACAAAATGGAGGCTGATTATACCATACATAACCACCAAAGCACTGAGAATCACAGCATGGCCGGTGTTACCCTCACACCACAGTGTTTGTTGCTCCAGACATAACATCGTGAATGCACAAAATAGTTGGATAGTAGATTTTTAACTTATCCAAATGCAAAATGACAGATACCAAGGTAGTGTTAAAGTAAAGAGTTATTGTTGTTAAGTGCTGTCAAGTTGGTTTCAACTCATAGCGACCCTGTATAGGGTTTCTAAGGGGAAGTTGGTTAATTTGAACCGCCAACTTTTCAGTTCAAACTGACCCTGCAGCCCATTGGATTATCCCACAGTTCCACACCAGGGCTCTTAAGTAAGGAGTTGATGTTGTTGTTGTTGTTGTGAAGTGCCATTGAGTAGGTGTACTAATTTCATTATCCAGCTTAATTTATTTAACAATGCTTCTTAAAACTGTTGTAAATATCTGATTTTTAATAGAACTTTTTGTTAAAATTCTATTAAATAACTATGTGGTTGATTTGGCTGTATTTCACTATGAATGTCTGATAACATTAAGAAAGCCCGATAACATTAAAAATGTATATATCCTAACATGATCCACAAAGATAAGACTGTGTATCCTACTTTGGTGTGTAGCAACTGGAATTAAGAGCTCATGAACAGTTATCCAAAGTACACTATTGGTCTCACCATTAGCAAAAGAAAGAGTGATGAAAACTGAAGGTGCTTGGAATCAATTAGTCTAATGGACTAATGGAATACATGAACATCAGCCTCCACAACCCTGAGACCAGAACTAGATGGTACCTGGCTACCAACTGCTCTGAAAGTGATCATAAAGTTCCCAATAGCATGGAAGACAATCTGGAACACAATTCAAAATTATTTTTTAAAAAAGACTGTGCTTATTGGTGAGACTGGAGGAACCTGAAAATATGGTCTTTGGCCACCTTTCAGACCTGGAATGGAACTCACCCCCACATCCAAGCAGTAGATAGATCTATGTTGTTGTTGTTGTGAAGTGCCGTCGATCGGTTCCAACCCATAGAGACCCTGTATAGGGTTTCTGAGGAACAGCTGGTGAGCTTGAACTGCTGACCCTGCAGTTCAAACCAACTTTGCAATCCAGAGCGTTTACCCTCAGCACCACACCAGGAAGACAATAGCACCAGTAAGTGTTGAGATGAACTAGCAGCCACTGAGATGAAACAAAGTACACGATGTGTTTAATATAAAAGTGATGGTTTTCTCTGTAAACCTTCATTTAGTTCACACTAAAAAGTTTCGAAAAACAGTATATGCCCAAGTGTGCAAAATTATCCCATTTTCAAGGAAGCCAGCTGGTCATAGACAACAAGGTAGACTACACTTCCTGACAGGTTTCTTTCTCCAGGATGGGTTTTTTCATCTTTCTTGATCCTTATGAGGAAAGGCCACCCTCCACCTTCTGCTGGGTTAGCATTAAGAACCACACCAGAAAGCCCCTGGGTCTGAGGTTGGACTGACTTGGCGATCACACATTACTTTCACTCCCCATATCCTCAGTTGTTTAAAGCAAAACTCCAGAAGAAAGAAGATTACCCTTTTTTAAACTTCTGCTTTAAAAATGAGAACCAGAGATGAGAAAACAGTCTGGTCACTTTTTGTCCATGGAAGAAATTCAAGTAGTTGCAATTTATATCAGCATAGTTGAATGTCTAGACTTTTAGCAAGTTGCCAACTATTTCCTCCCCCTTCAATCCTGTCCTCATCAAACTCACCTTAAGCCAGGTGTTATTAAAAGGTGGAAAATTCCATCACTAACTCAAGGCTGAATTCTGTTTCTAGATATCCAAATCCATTTACCCCTCAGCTAAACTAGTATCTTTCAGCAAAGAGATTTGTTATTGTTGTTGAGTGCTGTTGAGTCTTTTCTGACTCATAGCAACCTTGTACAGGGTTTTCAAGGAGTAAAGGTGCATTTGAACCACTGACCTTGTGGTCTGATGTTCAGTGCTTATCCTACGGCTCCACAACAAGCAATGCTGTTGTTGTTAAGAGCCGTTGATTCGATTCCGACCCATAGTGATCCTGTACAGGATTTCCAAGGAACAGCTGGTGAGCTTGAACCACCAACCTTGCATTTCAAACGACTTTGCAGTCTGATGCATTAACCCACAGAGCCACACCAGGACTCCACAACAAGCAATAGTTCCCTACTTTTTCCTACCCAGGAAAGCCCCTGGTTGGTGGAGACAGATCTTTCAAATAGTGATGGTTCTAACATTTTTCAGATAATGAAATAAATCTTAGAGATGCCATTGGTTCCTTCTCATGTCAAACTGATCTCTTCAAGAATATTCCTCTTACTGTGATACCAACATTCTGACCACTTGGGTTTTAAGCTCAAATATCAATAAAGCCTAGAAGAACAGGAGTTTTCAAAAACTAGACTTTCTACCCAATGTTGCTACTTCCTCTTTGGTTCATGTCACAGAACGTCTGATACCCATTCAGAGCCAAATGCTATTCCTTGCCTACATTTTCCACCAATGTATATTTTTTTCATTGCTATTATTAACCAGTTAAGGAGCTCTGGTAGCGTAGTAGGCTGCTAACCTCAGGGTCAGCAGTTCAAAACTACCAGCTGTTCCGCAGAGAAAGATGAGGCTTTCTGCTCCCATAAAGATTTACAGCCTCAGAAACCCTGTACAGGGTCGCTATGAGTCGGAACCAACTCCACAGCACATAACAACAACAGCAACATAGGTCTAGAGGAGTCCTGGTGTGGCATTGTCAGTTAATGTGTTGAACTGGGAAGTCAGTTTGAACCACAAGGATGGTAGTTCAAGAGCACCAGCCACTCCTCAGAAACCCTCTACAGAGTCACTATGAGTCAGAACCGACTCGATGACACTTAACAGCAACAGTCTAGGTCTAGAAGTGAAAGGGACATATGGTGCTGGGTACTAAGGAGAATTACCATTGTCTTGCAAGACAAGTACCTCAAGGGAGGCCATTACAAATTCCTCATGAAAAGCAGGGTTAAGCATCTCAGATAGGAGTGACAAGCCTGCTTCTGAAAGCATAAAGATTCAACAAAATTCATAGGTTCCATGTCTTTAGCTTCATCAGGACCCGCCCATGTGTTCCCACTCCAAATTTCAGGATCCCGTTCTTGTCATTCAATGCCCTCATGTTTACACTAGATACTTGTGAGGTTGTGAATGCAAGTTGCATTGTAATTCAGCCACTTACAGGCTGAAACTCTGGATTTGGTTTTCAGCAATCTTAGTTCTGTGACTACAGAGCATAAAGTTTTCTTTGGGGACATATGAAGAAATATTCAAGTTATTGATGTGACACCTTAGCTGGGAATATGAAGCACTGAGTTCAACCTTTTCTTTGCCACTTTGACCAGCAAAAGCAGGAGCAATCAGTCAACCTCATAATACTGGTCAATTTGACAAAAATGACATGACCACCCAGAATCTTGTCTAGTATAAGTTTTTTTATTAATAGTACCTAATGGTGATAATTTGCATATCTATATACGGGAAAAGAGAGGTTTGGAGGTCTTGTAAATATAAAATGCATAGGCCAGCAGGCTGGAAATTCTGACAGAATGTCTATTTACAGTTCCCAGGTATAATCTTTCTCCCTAAGGTGCCTCAGATTTTTGTTGTTAAGGATTTCAGTTGAAGAGTTGAGGCCTACCTACATTATAGAGAGTGATCTGCTTTATGTAAGGTCAATTGGTTGAATTGCTAATCACGTGTGTGTGTATACCTTCATAGCAAAATCTAAACTAGTGTTTAACCAAACAATCAACACCATAGCATATTATGCTATGTTTTCTTTTAGTTTGCTACAGGATTTTTTGAGAGGAGTCCATGTCTTAACTTTCCATTCTGTTTTAACTATCATTTTTGGATGTCCTATCTCATTAACCATATTGCTTAATTATAACATAATTTTATTTAGACTGTTCACATTGGATTCCTGGTGTAGCTCTGTAGGATAAGCATTGGACTGCTAACCCAAGGTCAGTGGTTCAAACCCACCAACCATTTCTTGA